ATTGGTGCTGCAGCACTTCTTGCCCAAATAAGGGAAAATATAACAGGAGCATTCTATTGCCCCCCACATATCCCCCCTTTTTATTAAATACATCAAGTGGAAGTTGACAGTGCTCTGCGGGAACAATGCCTGGCTTAGGTCAAGGACTCCTTCACATGAGATCGACCAGACCTTACCCATCATGGGATTACAGGGCAGCAGTAGGCCCTGTTCCTGTCTTAGGTGGTTGGTGGCACTGCATGTGGGTCCTAGTTGCCCGTCATTGACTACTTGTCCATCTCACCAGGGGGCCTATGTCAGATTAGGCCACATTATGATAGGGTCCATTTGAGGGAACCCTCTCACAATACTCTTGTTGATCTGCCATTTCCAGCTGATGATAATGTATCTGGATGGGCTTTGCAGCAAAGGCATCTAAATGTGAGCTGATGAATGCTGTAAGTTTTTGAAAAATGCAAGGTCCTATCATGAACAAGAGTAGGAGTGAGAAGAGGAATCCCAATAGGGGTACAAGGTAAGGGAACATTCCTCCCCATAGTGAGGAGAAGGAGTCATCCACAAGCTGTTGTCTCCACTTGAGTAGTTGATCCTGAAGCTCTCGGATTTTGTCTCGAACTATGCCTGATTTATTAACATAAAAACAACACCTTTCCTGTAAAGCAAGACATATTCCCCCATGCTCTGCTGTCAGAAGGTCCAAGCCTCTATTTTGCAAGACCACTTCTGCTAGTGAATCTATCTGGTCTTGGATATCTTGGATAGTACCAGATAGTGCTCGAACATCATCAATCAGCTGGTTAGATAATTTAGTATAAGAATGTACTGCTACCCTCAACTCTGCTGAACCTGTCCCCATGGCTGCTGTGATTCCCAGCCCACTGGTAAGGGAATGAATTGGACCACCTTCTTTGTGTGGCCTTGGAAGCAGGCCTGGGCATTTTGCTGCCACCTGTGCCCCACTCCCCTGTTGTTGCTCCCTTTTCTTTTCCTCCTCCCCTGCTTCTCCTCTGCTCTCTATCCCCCCTGGTGCCTCATGCCTCCCTGTCCTAGGTGACTGCCATTGCCGTGCTGCATCATCCCATAGTCACATTCTACTCACCATCTTTCTACTTACTGTCTGTTCCTCTT